GTTTTATTTTTGTCGCGCTCGGCCATCGGTATCTGCTGATATCCAGATGCAAGGTCGAGCGTCGTAAAATACTTCGCGTTTCCCAGCTGATCCAAAATATCGGTAATATTCGGCAGTGGGAATGAGTCGCCTATAGTCAATTCATTTAACTTTCGGAAATCGACTACTACTCTTAATCGCGGTTTGCCTGTTGCGTCAGTCTTTTTTGGCACTACTAATAACGGTGCATTCCACTGGCTAATGCTTGTACTAATAATTCCGTCTTTTAGCATTTCCTGTACTTGTTTGTTCACTTCTGATTTGTGTTTTTCGGGAAGGCGATACGGTCTCACATTGACGGGTGAGGTATCGACGCGCGTGCTTATCTCGTGTTTTAACGTTGCTGTGCATGACAGTGGTTCTCCGCTTAAATAAAACACGTCGCTATATTCTTCGCATATTTTCTGTATCGCTTTCCTTTCTTCCTCGTTTAAATGCTTTGTGTGTAACAATTGTCAAATTCGTTCGTCACGCGTTAATTGATTCGGAGTCTCGTCTATATGTATCGTGTACAATTCGTGCGCGTTATCTTCGCAAGCGTCTTCTACGGTTACGAGGGGTGTGTGTATCTCGACCGGCTCATCAGTTGTATTAATTACACTGATGGGACATTGGTAATTCTTCGGTTCTACCAAACATCGTCCGATATAGATTCCTGGGGCGGTTTCTTTGGCTCGAATGATCCCTGTCTTATTATCATTTGTTATCGCGTGTATAATTGTTTCACTACGCGGCTTTAAGATAATTTTGTTGTACGGTTGCAATTTTAGGACGGCGTTTCCGATTTGTAATTCGCGTTTTTTGTAATCGCACGTGACTTGCTGCTTCTGAAGAAAGTCGATTCCTATGATCCCGTCATATTCCATTGGAAAATCATCTTTCACGACGTAAATCGCGTGTTTTATCTTGTTTCCGTTTAGCTCAATTGTCGCGTATATTTTTCCGATCGTCTTTGCTTTATGACCGGTTATTCCAACGAGGGTTATTTTATTATTGTAAATTTCGGTCTCGCCCTTCAAGTGTTTCACTTTTATCAATGAAATCGTAGCTCCCGAATCGTAAAGCATATTTACTCTTCCGCGTTTTGCTTCTCGCATAGGCAGAGTAATTATATTTAAACTCGCTCTTTCTCTCGGCGTTCGGCGCACGTGTGTCACCTGATATTCGAGCGCGCGAGTCTTCTTAATCTTATCTCCGCGCTCTCCGTCTTCATCGCTGCTACGTTCGGACTCGGAATTTCTCTCCTGCCGGATTCTTTGATTATCTATTTTATTAATACTTCGCGGTTTTTTTCGATCCTCTGGCTTGTTCCGTGGGGGCGTATTATTTTTCGGTCGTCCGTTTAATTCCCAACATTCTTCGCGGTTATGTCCACGTTTTTTGCAATGGTTGCAAAATTTTTCGATGGCGGATACGCGCGAGGATTTTTCCGGTTTCGGCAGAACGTTGATTGTGCTACGACAGTCTCGTCCGTAATGTCCGGGTTTTCCACATCTATAACATTGTCCCGTCGTTCGCTGTCCTGACCGCGTTGATTCAGGCTTATTTAGCGAGGAATTAGTTGCCCGTGACGTGCTAGGTCCGATAAATCTCTCTTCCGCGCTCGCGCCGGCTATCGCTTCTTGAAGCGTCGTATATCGTTGTGAGCGTACGAGTACCTTTAAGTCGCTTCGTAGCCCTAATTGAAAATTTAATAATGCTTGGGTTTGGATCGTTTGTAAGATAGTGCGTTTCTCTGAGCTCGTTTGGTTTTCTCCCTCTATCATTGAATCGTATAAATTCATAGCGAGCTGGTCGACGCGTTGCCCGAAATTTTGTGCTGTCTCATTATATTTCTGCTTTAGCGAATTAAATTCTAATTGCAAGTGGGCAGTACTTTGCTTGCATTGGTATGCGGTCTCTAGTTGTTGCTTTAATTCTTCAAACGTTTGTATGTCTCGCGTTTCGAAGACTTGCATGGCTTTACCTTTTAATTTAGTAAATAGTATGCCCTGTATCAGAGACTCTTCGTCTCCGGGATGTATGTTTTGCATTGTATATGTGCATGCGTTTAGAAATTCCTGAAGGCGGTGTCGCGATGTACCGTCGAATTCGGGTATCATCATTCGCGCTTCTTTTAGAGACATATTTTGTCGTGCAGTACTCCGTCGATTTCGTACGTCGCTCAGTCCGTCCGTAAGTCATACGAGGCTCGTAATCGGACTCCCGCTGTTCGTCTGTGTGTGTGTATGCCTGTGCGGCTTCTATCCTATTCATACGTGTGTTTAGTGTATGTAGCTCTGCATGTATCGCTTGTATTATATTAAGCATTTGTGAAGTTTCTCCGAGCGCTACGACGGAGGGTTGTTGTGACGTGACGTCTAAATTCTGTCCCATTTGTGCAAGGGTTTGTCGGAGTATGCTTATTTCGGCATCTATTGCGGTTGGCGGAATAGTTGCGTTCGCGTTTGTATTTTCTGCCATATTTATTTCGCTATAAATTTCTTCGGGATCGAATATTTCGCTGTCGTATGACGTTAATGAAAATTCTCTTCGCGAAGATACTCTACTCGGAGTTCGGCTGATATACGGTCGCAATCGACGCGGTTCGTTTTGAGTTACTTGAACGGAGTCGCTTGGATTTTTTGCGAATATACTCGCGTCAAAACTAGTAAACGGAAATTCTCGTTCGTTTATTACGTTCGGAGGTAACTCGGTATTATTTTCGTTTGTCAAGTCGCTGTCTAAATTTCTACGAACGCTTTCGAGATTTTGCGCAGTTAAAGGCAATACTCGCGTCGTTAACCGTACAGGTGTACTATGCAACCACGATTGGTTTTTAATCGCTTGTCGGGGTGTTTCGTCACCTTCCGACATTCACGCTATCAAATAAATTCGGACTTACAGTATTACGGCTCGCATCGTTACGCTCTATACGGGTCGGCTGCTGCTGCTGCAACTCGATCGCTCGTGGGCTGATAACGGCGGCTCCGTGTTGGTGATAGATACGGCGGGTCGTCGCTCGTGTTGATGCGCTGCCCGTGAGGTTGTCGTAGGTCGGCGTTGTCCTTGGACGTCGGCGATCCTTTTCGATTCTCTGCTGCTTATCACTCGTTGCACTGTTTATGTTGTCTGCTCTCTCGTTCTCTCCTAGTCGTGGCTTCTGCTTATTTCCGTCAGAGTTACTGACGTGCCCGTCTAACACTTGTTATAATTGTATGTGTTTTTACAGGTCTTCGCCGCTGTGAAGATTTTAGAGACGACGTCGGCCCTGCGGCTGAGATCCCACCGCTGCCACCAAATTGTTGTGCCTCCGGGAAGGCACGGAAAATTTTGGGGTCTCAGTCGACTGAAGGATGAGGATCCTAGGATCGGCGGGCGTCTCCACTTTGATTAACTTCGCTTGTGTATTTGAATAAATCTTTTATTTCGCTTATTTCTTGAGTTGGATTAATTATGTATAATCCCACCTGGGTGATTAGTTAGGTGTGCTCGCTCTCGATAATCGGATTACAGGTGATAGTTATATTCTGCGGCTTGTCTTCGACTCCTAGTTAGGTTCTAGTTAGCGACTCGACCTTTTGGATTTTCGTTAGCGACTGCCTTCGTCGCCTCGCTTTCCGTTCGCGGTGGTCTCCTGCCCTTTTCTACATCTTTCGGGGGAAGATGTAGAGAAGCTCTTTCATTGGCTAATTTTTATTCACACACTTTTTATCTAGGTGCAAGCGAAGCAGGTTGATTCTTCGCTTGCGGTCCGCGGGTTTCGGCGTAACGCTTATGTTTCATCGCGTTTGCGTCTTTTCGCGATAAGCGCTTCGCGAGAGCGTGAGAACGTTTCTCAAATGATTATATAATAGCTGACTTACTAATTTATTATTAAAACTATGTTAATATAATATAATATAATATAGTTATAGTCATTCGGACTATAACAAAGTTGTCGGAGGATTTCCTTGGCTTCCTGGAGGGTAGAAGCTGCAGACAGGATGTCGTCCATGTAAACGTCGGAGCGGAGGACCGCGGCTCCCTCAGGATGACGATCGCCTTCGTCCACGGCGAGCTGGTGCAGCGTGCGGATGGCCAAATATGGAGCGCAGGCTAAGCCGTAAGTTACTGTAGTCAGCCAATATTCCTTGATCTCGGTCTCTGAATCCTTCCTCCATAATATCCTTTGCATGCAAAATTGTTTCTGTACACGTTTCGGCCTTAGGGTACGGGCCCTTCTCAAGTGTTATTAGGTATATCCTAAAATATTATATGTATATAATTAATGATATATATTTATGATGTTATATATAGGTGCGCATGTGAACGTGATACGTTGCAATATCATTTCTACAAGACTGAAGGAAAAAAATAATCTGTATTATATTATTATTGTTTAAAAGTTTCAATTTAAAAAAAAGGTAAGCTCGATAGTTTATTTATTTAATTATTTTGAGATCTATATTGCAAAAGTTGCAAAAAATTCATCGATTTTTTTTTATTGAATTTTGACACTAAATATGACAAATATTATTATAATACACACACACAATATCAACTCATATATAAAACATTTTATGTGCATATGCTTTTATATTTTTATATTCAATGTTTTGTAATTAGTTAAATTCAATATAATTGTAAATGTATTATTTTTTCGTAACTAAAACATATTACTAAATCATTAATAATTTATACAAAAAAATTGAATAATTTTTAGATATCTTGAATATAATTTAATACAAAATAATGACTATATAAGAGAGAATATAAAAACACAACACATATAATTATTTTCTGAGTTAATGAACATATACTATATATAAAATATTTATATTTGATAGTTTTATTTTCGTTTTTAATAATTCTATGTATTAAATGTTACAGTGTTATTACTTTTGGAATATATCTAAAATTTCCTTCATAAATCCAATTTTTTCCTTCCTTTGATATACAATTTTTTGATTAATAATGTTCAAATGTTTAATGTGCAACTGTGTATTTTCATTTATACTTTTGTACAATAAGCACCAAATTCTTCATAAAGACATGCCGTATTTAAAAATAATTTGTCTGTTCAAAAATTGTAGGCAACAATTTAATAAATATCTCAATTTTAAGAAACATATTTTTAGACAGCATTCAACAGATAAAAAACAAACATGCATAACTTATTGTTGTAAAGAAAGAAATTGCAATGCTCATTTTAACGATAGATTAAATTTTAATAAACATTTATATAAACATATAAGACAAAGTAAAATTGGGATTTATTGCGGATATCCAGCTTGTTCTACTAATAAAATTTTCAAAACAGTCAGCACTTATACAGTACACATATGTAGACATCATCCAAGTGATAATTTTGATAAGCAATTTGTTACTAATAAAGAATTGATAAATTTTGATACCAATAATTTTGATACCAGTAATTTTGATACCAGTAATAATGACAATCTTTTTTTGCAAAAGGAAAGTTTAAATCAATTTTTGTGTGATGTGAACAATAATGAAAAAGCTATAGCACAATTATATTTAAATTTGACTACAAAATATTTCCTAACAGAATTTGCTCTACAAGCTGTAATAGATGGTATGTCATCTATATTTACACTTATTCAAGAACACTTTATTACAACTTTAAATGAAAGCGATCTTAAAGACGATATAAAAGAAAAAATTAAAGATATTTTTCAACGTAGTTATTCTTTCTTTTTAAATGTTCATAATCCTATAAATGGTTGTCTTCGAAATACACATTCGAGGAAAACATATTTTAAACAAAATTTTCAATGTCGATAAATATCCACAAATTTTCAAAGATATGGATGAGGATGGCAGATGTTTTGGAGACGGATCTCATTCAATATATTTAAAACTTCGAGACCGAAATTCTTATTTAAATAGACCACATATGAAAAGATGTCTAAGTCAAAGTTTAAATATACCTCTAAAAAAACAAAAAAAAGTATTATCTGCTAAAGCTGGATGTAATAATTGGCAGCCAGAAAAATATATTGACACAGAAACAGAAGAGACAATAGAGGACAAGGCTAAATTTCTACGTCAAATAGTTCACGATGATTCATCAAGCGATCCTAAGATTCAACATAAAATTAATTTGTATCTTGAAGCTACATATCCGGCGCAAAGATTGTTTCTTAATGATGTCTATAAAACACCTACTATTGAAGATGTTAAAACTACATGGCCAATTCTTTAAAAAAAAAAATATATGTTTTGGCATTACGAGCAATTAATGGGACATTCAGTAGATCTTCTAAAGCAAGAAATCTTAAAAAAACAAGACAAAATACTTATTTATGGACAGCATAAAAAATATAAAGATATCATTAATTCAAATAATCCTACAGAGTTAAAATTGATAAAAATTATTATGAAACATTTTAAAGAAGATTTTCAAGAATTATTTAAAACATATCCTGTAAATATTTTTTAAATATGTTTTGTGTTTAATTTTTTTATGAATGTGTCAAATTTACATTTTATTAACTAAAGTTAATTTATTAAACAGGAAGCAACACCCTTGGAAAATATAGAACCACCAGTTGTAGCACCATGTATTATAATCATAGGTAATTTCGCTATATAATTGTATTAATTATATTTTGACTTTATAGTATAGTAAATTAATATATATTTGTGACTGCTCTAATTATCATATATTTAATTATTACAGATGATCCAGCATGTCGAATGTTTTATTTATATATAGAAAAATTATTGATTGAAAGGACATATTGCTTTTATGAAGCCTTAAAAATGTTGATGTCTGTATATTACATTTTCAATATGGAATATCCCAAAAATAGTACATGTACCTTAGAATTTTTACAAAAATATTTTTTAAATATTCATCCAGCTTGTGGTTCAAAATCTCATAAGGTGTCAACAAAATACAAAGTATTGTCACTTTTTAATAAATTGAGAAACATATCAGATCAAGAAAATATTGCTACAGATAACATGTAACAAACATAAAATAAAAGTAAGCATTATTCATATTAAAAAATTATGATATACGTTATTTATATTAAATATGTAATACACTTTATATCTTTATACATTTTAATACTTGTTTTATAATCTGTACTATTTTTATTTGTTTCAGATTTCTACAAAAGTAGAAATATAATCTATTACCACTATATTCTATATTCTATGTGAAAGTCTATAAAAAGCTTCATATGAAGATCAAAATAAAAACCACTTGAAAACACGCTACATATATTATTTTGCAATGAGAATCTCTTGGTGATTATACTAATAATTCGATGACTTCGAAGAAACAATGATTTTGGTTATAAAGTATATAACAATATCTATATTACAATATTTTTTACTGTTGTAAAATTATAATGTGAGTTTTTATTTTTTTATATTAATAAATTTATTATATATTTTGTTTTGTAATCTCAAATATAAAGAATTTATTTTCGTTAGTTATTCTTAAATATATAATTAATATATTTATTTTTATATTACTAAATACATATAATTAATGGGTTTATTTTTTATGCTAAATATAAAGTTTTTAAATTGTCTTTATTTTGGTATTACTAAAAGAAATTCTTTATATGGTTACCATATATACGTTTATTTTTGCAAATGTAATATGAATTATTTGAATAAGTATCAACAAAAAGTTATTATTATTAATATTACATTAGATAATTATTATATTATATATTACAGTTTAATGAAATATGTATCTTTTATTTTTTGCTATTAACATTGTCAATAAAAATGATTGAAGGTTTTTGAAACAGGGTATTTCTTTAATCACGCGGCATATTGAGAATTATATATATATGTATATATATATATATATATTACTAACTGGTATAATCTTCCTGAATAATTGTAGTAAAAATTATATTTTAAAGTGTAATATCACAAACATGCAGAATTATATTACAAAAAGATGTGGTAAACATAATCTCTGCAATGTGAATTTCATATTTCTATTTGTAACAATACAAACGTGTGAACTATTATTAAGTTCACATTTTGTGCATTTACACTCTGTTGTGTAAATTTAATATTTGAATGTTTAATAATACAATTGTAAAAAATATTTTTACATTACCGTTTTATAATTTTACATATATATTGTGAATTTACTTCTGCAATCAGCTCAATTACAAATGAAGAAATTAATTTTACTTCTACATTGCAAATTTACAAACGCGTGGAAATTTACAACTATTATAGTGGGTCCTATTATTACCCACTATAATAGTTGTAATTTTACACAAAATTTTTTTACAGTGCAGGCTCTGATCATCGGCATGTACCAGGATTTGCCGGTACATTTTTTCAATGTCGGTAGCAAAGACGTACCGGTGCCTTCTCCGCCGTAGTAGGATGTCAGCTAGGGCGGGAAGCAGGTTGGGTCCCGTCATCAGAAATCGGTTGAGACAGTCGCCGTTGGCCAAGGAGCTCGAACCGTTGAAGACCACTCTCAACTTAGTAGAGGCACTGCTTTCGCTCAGGACCCCGTGGTGAGGAAGGTAGCAGGTTCGTTGTAGAGATCCAGTAGTTGACAGGGGAGCCGGCTTCATATGGTTGAGGTCCAAGTATTGCTTCATGAAATCCACGTACATGCTGCGGAAGGTGCTTTCTCGTTCTAGTTTTTTGCTGACGTGTTGCAGGGCCCGACTGGCGGCGCGTCGAGTGGCTGAGAGGTCAGGCAGAGGCTCGATCGTCGGCAGTCTCACCACATATCGACCGTTGGCTGTACGAGTGTGATGTCGCAGGAAGTGATCCTCGCACTCCTGGTCAGCCTTAGAAAAGAGTTGTGAAGGCCGTTGAAGCTCCTCCTGCTCCCAGAAGCGACGCACCAGGATAGAGACGTCGTCTTCAATTTGGCATTGGTGAGTGTGAACGTGATGTCCGGTAGTCGTCTCACCAACAACGCCTGACAGTATCCAGCCGAGCGTAGTTTGTTGAGCTATTGGTTCATGTCGATTTCCCTTTTTTAGGCCCTGACAGAGGATTGAACCGTAAACGTCCGCGCCAAGGAGGATGTCAACCGGATCAGCTGAGCGGTAATCAGGGTCCGCGAGTTCCAGACCCTGAAGATGAGACCAGTTTTGCTCGCCGCCGTTGTAGCCGCCGGCGTAGATGGTCAGCTTCGGCAGCACCAGAGCGTGGACGGTGATGGAAGGGCAGCCACTAAGAGACTGGAGGGTGAGTACTACTTTACCCTTTGAGACGCCTGTCTTTTTCCCGCCGACTCCATACACTGAAACCGAAGCGGAGCGCCGTGCTAGCCTCAAGCGTTAGGTGAGCCTTTCCAATACAATGGAGGATTCCGAGCCTTGGTCGACGAGGGCGCGAACTGACTGCCAGAAACCATAGCGATCGCATACGCGAACGCGCGCCGTGGCCAAAAGTACAGATACAGGCGTCGGAAACGGTCCCTTGCTGACGTGCGACGTCTTGACGGTCTCAGATGAGCGGTAGGCATCATGGAGTGAGGTATGATGCCGGTCATTGCACGCGGAGCAGTTCTTCTTGGAGGCGCAATCCTTGATTTTGTGTCGGCCGAGACAGTTTCCACACAAGTCGTTGCCTTCGACGTGCTGCTTGCGCTCTGAGGCCGTCATTTTCTTATAAGTGTCGCACAGCATCACGAAGTGGTCACCCTGGCAGGCTGAACAGCGTCCTCTGGTGTTTCCCTTGGGCTCTTTTGAGTCCTGCTTACGAGCATGGTGGGTACGAGTCGACTTCGACTGACTCCCGCCGGTTTTGTTGGGCGAGACGTCGATCTTCGTCGAGGGTAATGACTCCAGAGTGTGAAGACGTCGCTCAAGGAATCGCTCTAGCAGAGCGTATGGCGGAGGTTCGTTTGTCTCACTGATGGAGGTCTCCCACTCGCGGCGAGAGCGACTATCGAGAAGGTCAACGGCGAGGTGCACAAAGAGATCTTCAGTAATCCCTACCGGCCGGTCGATGCTCGTCAGCGAGCTGACCGTAGTCTTGATGCCATGGAATATCTTCCTAAGCTCAGCAGCGGATTCTCCCTTCATCTTTGGCAGGCTTAAAAAATTTGTTAAATAAGAGCGAGTTAGTAAGCGCTTATTTTCATAGTAGTCGCTTAGAGTTTGCCAGGCTCGTTCGTAATTAGCTTCGGTAGAACTGAGGTCTCTGATGAGAAGATCTGCTTTGCCCTTGACACAGCTCTTCAAGTAGTGCATTTTTTCTACAGGCTTCGTCGTCTTATCCTGGCCGATGAGGGAAACGAAGAGGTCTCGGAAGGCCGGCCAATCCTCGTATCTTCCCGTAAAGGTCGGCAGCTGGATTCGAGGTAGCGTGGTGCGAGGCGCCGATGTTGATGTCTCTGAAGTAGCAGAAGCAGCGGCGCGTTCCTTTTTCTGGAGAGTACGCCGCAACTCCAACATCAGGCCCTTGTTCACTAGATAAGACTCCTCGCCGAGTGAAGGTATGTCTTGTTTAGCATAGGCGTCATGTTTTAGTTCGTCTACACGCTCAGCCAAGATATCATTCATCGCATCGAACTTCTCCCACAGTTTGTCGAGATTCAGAAGCCGGGCTTCCACCGCGCCGAGTGTGATGTTGGCCTCGCCGAGCTTCCGAAGGTTATCGTATGCGCGCGAGATCTTGCCATATAGCGCGGTGGCGTTGGTAATTATAGTTGTCGTGTCTGCCATCTCTGACACTGTCTTACTTTCAGATGCACTGGTCACCTACACTGATAAACTCTACGCTTACGTGGCACCGGATTCACAGGAGGTTCTGGAGGATCCGGCTCGAAGGACCAAAATAATGTGCGCGACAGAAGGCAGGATAGGGAGTTCGGAAGCGAGAAGACAGCGAAACACTGCACTCGACACACACGTATTGTTTAATATAAACTATATTTAAGACTAAGACAAAGAAAAATACAAGTATTGAAACCGCACAGAATTTACAAAAAGATAACTGATTAGAATAAACCAAAAGAAATAGCCGAGTCGATAATTAATAACTAAATGTTCCGCAAGCAACGGTAATTAAACGTGATAAAACGAAAAAGACAAGCGATCCTTTTCTTACAGTAGAAGCACACTCTTGACGCGACGAGCAATCGGAAAAGAGCGCCGCGATCACGAGAGAGGAGGTTTTTATAGGCCCGTGTTTCTAGAATAGTCGAGAATAATTCTCTTTATTCTATCGTTCGGCTGAGGTCGAAAGAGCGTCTAGTGTAATTATTTACTTTCAGAAAAATAGTCGTTTTGTTGTTATCGGGACTAAATTGTATCTCCTCTCGCGCGACCGCGGTGTTTACCATTATCGGTGATTTGACGTAAGCGCTTCCTTTTCGCAGGCGCGGGGTATACGTATACCTGTGCGGCCGAGCGCTATTTGAAAGAATATTAATAAAAAATGATGCATGATGCATGTTGCATGTCACGATTGCATGAGTTTTAACGCAATAATGTTTTTAAGCCTTTTCAGTTTGCGTTTAGCCGTTCGATTTTCGAACACTCATCAATGCGCGTAGACTAGATGTTAATCAAATATTTACACTATGTACATATTCGTCAAAATCGATTATTAACTAAAATGAACTGAACTTTATTATGAAAGGTTGGCACGATGTGATTTTACCGATGTGGGCATGTCGGATGACTTATTTGTTTAAGTCGCTTAGTAATAAAAGCATTATCTGATCGAGAGGCGGTGTCATGCAGCGAGCGGCGAGCAATGTAGCGGCGCCGAAAAGTAAGATGATACTTTTGATACTAAGCGACAGCCAAATACAAAAGGAAAGAAGTGTTTTGATTGGTTTAAACTCGTGACGCGCGGCCTGACGCGCTCAGTGGAAATTCAGCCGCACTCTCATACAAAAAGCGCCATGCTTACTTTCGCGCGACATTGCATGGAAACATTAAGGTCGTTCTACATTAGTTGCAAATGGAGTCGCAAAGTTGCAAATCGCAAAAAATTAACCAATCACAATTGAAATTTAAGAAAATAATCGACTATGGTTGGCTAATTTTTTGCGATTTGCGACTCCATTTGCAACTAATGTAGAACGACCTTAATGTCACATGTTGCATTCGTTATTCTCGCTTTCATATAGAAAGTATCGTTCTTTCTTTTGCTCGTTAAACATAAATAATATACAAGGGCCCGTATTCATAGTCTGTTCTTATATTTAAGATCGTCTTAAGACATCGTTCAACCAATCAAGAGATGCTATGCGGCCATTTGATTGGTTGAACGAGGTCTTAAGACGATCTTAAATATAAGAACGACTATGAATACCGCCTTATGAATACGGGCCAATAAAGCGGGGAGCACAAACTTTTGCATAGACGCATAAGCGTAAGCATATAGCGGGGAGCACACACTTTTGCATAAGCGTAAGCATAAGAATCTTGATTGGTCTATAAACGTATGCATAAGAAATTGAACCAATCGAATTTCTTAAGCCGGGTCTACATTGGTCGTAGAATCGTAGATCGTAAGAAAATTGATCCAATCACAGTTGAATGTGAGGAAAATAATCGACTCTGATTGGATCAATTTTCTTACGATCTACGATTCTACGACCAATGTAGACTTAGCTTTATGCATATGCTTATGCGCTTATGCAAGAGTGTGTGCTCCCCGCTTAATACCCAGAGCACAGACTTTTACATAACGCATATGCATAAGAAATTCAACCAATCGAATTTCTTATGCTTATGCGTTATGCGTTATGCAAAAGTCTGTGCTCTGGCCTTAAGAATCTTGATTGGTCTATAAACGTATGTATAAAGGTAATATTTCATGAGCAGTGAAAAACAGCAGCAGTTTAGTAACTAACTAGTATTGTTTGGTAAATTCACAGAATTGCTGCGCTGTCCATGAAATAGGTTTTCTGCTGTTCAACAGGATGAACTTCAAACAGCAAAAACTTGCACCGGAAATACGTCACCGAATCTAGTTACTTTCCAGAATGCTGCTGCTTTTTGTGGCGGCCCACTTGTCCAATTCCCTAGATGGGGAAATACGCAGATGGCGACAGCAATCGACATCGACGCTCACGCAGGTCGCTTCGACTCAACCTTCTTCCTATTATTATTATTCCGCCCTAATATACGAGAGATTACGCCTCGTGTGTGATATTAAGTTAGTCGCGGCTAGATTTTGTATTTTTACAATAAACTTATTGTTAGAATTAATAAAGTGGGTGGAACTATTGCTGTCCTAATCCTCAGCGTTACAAATCGCGCCCTAGAGTAATACGGGACTCAAAAGGCGTGTCGGCGAGAACGCGCACGTGGCCTGAGCGCCATAAGTGGTGACTTCGACGTGATCGCCGGTAACATTTTTTTCGCGAAGTGACTTTTAGTGGACAGAGTGACATCCAAGAGGATGCCAGTGGACCGTACGCCAGACAGGTCGAACGACACTTCTAACGTGCCGGAGACAAAGGACTTGCAAGGCCCGCTCGACAGCGGAACACCGGGCTTGCCGATCACCCCCGCGAGAGGAAGCATAGCGATCGAGGCGAATACCGTGCGGCTACCACCTTTCTGGAAAGAGAATCCGCAGCTATGGTTTGTGCAAGTGGAGGCGGCGTTTGCCATTCATCGGATTACAAGCGACGAAACCAGGTTTCGCTACGTAATATTACATTTAGACCCGGCTATTCTTTCTTTGGTCGCAGATATCGTGACGTCTCCACCGGAAGTAGATCGGTACGCGGCAATTAAAGAACGTCTCACCACCGTATTGGGCGAGACCAGCGCTTCGCGATTGCGGAAATTACTAACCGCGCATGAGTTGGGAGATAACAAGCCGTCCATCTCCCTACAGAAAATGCGTAATCTCGCGGAAGGGCAGGTGACTGACGGGGTCCTGCGCACGATATTTCTCGAGCAACTCCCCGAAAATGTTCGCGCCATTTTATCTATATCCGAAGTAGGCGACTTGAGCAGGTTAGCCAACCAGGCTGACAAAATTCTAGACATGGCAAAACCCGCCATGTTGGCCGTCCAGCCAGTCACCGCTGAGACAGGAGTGCTCAGCAAGATGGCCACCGAGATCGCCACTCTAACCAAACAGATGGCGGCATTGAACAAGCGGATCGGAAGCCGGTCGCGTAGCAGATCACGAGGACGCAGCGGATATAAAGACCGATTGAGGAGCAAATCTCGCGGCAAAGAAGATAACAAATTTTGCTTTTATCACTGCAAATTTGGAGCCAAAGCCTATAAGTGCGAAAGCCCATGCGCGTGGAAGGACGAAAAAAAGTCGGAAAACTAAGCCCACCGCCACGATGCCAGGCGGTCGTCGGCGGGAACCCGGGGAGCGCACGCCTGAAAATTCGCGATAGAACAAACGGCACTACTTACCTGATCGATACCGGAGCGGATGTTTCCGCGATACCGCGAAATCTAACCGTGGTACGCTCCGACCTACTGATTTAAAGTTATTTGCAGCCAACAATACCGAAATATTTACATACGGCAGCAGAACATTGGTATTGGATCTCGGCCTACGACGACCTTTTCGCTGGAATTTCGTGATAGCCAACGTGAGACAACCGATAATTGAAGCCGATTTTCTGGCGCACTATGGACTTTTGCCGGATCTGAAGAATCGCCGACTGGTCGACCAGCACACGACCTTGTTCACCAGCACACGCCCCAGTCACGCTGCACAGCTTTCCGTATTAACTGTGAGTAGCAGCTGTAAAATAAAAGATTTACTTAGAAAGTACATCGAGATCACGCGCTTTACGGCATTGTCGAATACAACGCATAAGGTAAAACACCACATCATGACTAGCGGCCCTCCGCTAGCAGAGCGACCGCGCAGGCTTGCGCCGGAGAAATATGCAGTAGCAAAGAAGGAATTCGAGATGATGGTGGAGCAGGGGATCTGCCAACCATCTTCTTCACAATAGGCCAGCCCGCTACATCTAGTCAAAAAGTAAGATGGTAGTTGGAGACCGTGCGGGGATTTCCGCAGACTGAATAGTGTAACGGTCCCGGACAAGTATCCGCTTCCGCGCATCCAAGACTACGTACCATTTGGCGGGATGTAAAATATTCAGCAAAATCGATCTTATTAAAGCGTATTTCCAGATACCAGTGGCCAATGAGGATAAGCATAAGACTGCGGTAACAACTCTATTTGGGCTGTTCGAGTTCAATCGAATGCCATTTGGCTTGCGCAACGCCGCGCAAGCGTTTCAACGATTCATCGATACAGCGTTACGTGGTTTGAAATATTGCCACGCATACATAGACGACGTTTTGGTAGCATCCAAGGACGAAGAAGAGCACAAGCAGCACCTGGAAGAGATATTCAGACGCTTGAAGAAGTTTGGCTTATCGATCAACGTAGCAAAGTGCAATTTCGCGGAAGAAGATATTGAATACTTAAGATACAAAGTAACCAAAGACGGCATACAACCTCTGGAGAGGAGAGTGACCGCAATTACTGAATACAAAAAACCGACCAATACTGTCGAGTTACGAAAATACTTGGGCATGATAAACTATTACCATAGGTTCATTAAAAATGCAGTGGAAGTTCTAGCGCCGTTCAACCGATACCTGATTGGTAAGAAGAAAAGAGACAAACAGGCTATCGACTGGTCAGCAGAGACGGAAGAGGCCTTCTATGAGAGTAAAAAGCGATTGGCAGAGACGAAACTACTGGCACACCC